CTGGAAACATGGAGGCTATTTGGAAAAATGGTTTAATGGTGGACAGGATCACATGGCTTGAGCTCCTGAAGGTGATCACATGCTTCAACATGCTGGGTGAAGAAGAAAAAAGGGCAGAGATGCTGAAAGTCCCTGATTTTATGCCCTCTCTAGACTTTGAACTTGAGCTTGTATTCTGATTGGTTGTCAGACTCCCATGGGGCAATGCAGGGGCAACTTCGTAGGCTGTGTTTTGAGTCCAAATTTGGTTGAGCATTGCTTCTTCCCAGGTGCCATGTGGTGAGAGCGATAGAGGGGTAATCCTACCTTTGTTATGTAGAGTAGACTGGATCAGACCTTAATGGCTCATTGACAAAAGGGTGTGTGAGTTTCTTCCTCACTTTTAGGGGGAAATATTTGGCCTTTTTAATATTTCTCAAAATGTTTCATCTTCTAGTAGAGGGGTGGGCATTAACGTCCTACACTATATTGCCAGAAGAACTTCAAAATGGACATACAGACATATGACTATGTGTGCAGAGCAAACATGCTGTACCTCTTTCACATCTTTGATTTGAACTGTAATTAATCTGTGGTTTTTTCCCTAACACATGTAATTATTGCAAAATTCTTTATCATTGCTATAGAGCAGACTATCCTATTGGTCGCTAAGTTATCTCATGCTATCCTGTGAGATAGCTGGTCTTAGCTTTTTTGCAACAAATGTGATACTCTTCATAAAGTGCCATACTATATATTTGCTTCTAATTCGGTATATATATTTGGAAGGAATTCCACAGAGTGCAGTATGACATATTTCAAAGTAATACACTGTGTTAGGGCCTATTTGCTATCAAGCCTTCTTGTGACTTTGGGCCAATCAGATCTGGAAAGAAATCAGTGACCAGCCATTTCTGAAAATATTACCAAAAAGGAATTAAGGCTGACTTGAAGATGCACACATGTATTTGTGTAATATATGTCAGAATTCTTAAAGCTAATTACAGTATATTTTCTTGCATGACTTGCCCGTATTGGAATGTTTCACGACTTCAAAGTGATCCAAATTTTGATGTTGGAAGTCAGAGTTTGTTGCAGAAAGCACAAACAGATAACTGATTCATCCTGTTTCAGGATTTCAGGATTCATTAACTTCTTTATGTACATAATAACACATGAAATTATTAGGGTGACCAGACGTCCCGCATTTGGCAGGACAGGCACGCCTTTTCATAAATTTTCCTGCGTCCCGTGCCGTTCTTAAAAAAACATGCTTTTTTGGCACTGGCAGCTCCCTCGCTCCCCCGCCCATCAGCTGCTAGCTCGCTGGGCTGGCTCATCGTTTCGTTCTATCCTACAAATTTAAGCCAGCCCAGCCTGCCGCTCACTGACTGGATTGGCCTGGACTCCAGCCAATCAGTGAGCTGGCTGGGCTGGAAAATTTTCAGCACGCCGCGTGCTGAAAATTTTCCATCCCAACCAGCTCACTGATTGGCTGGAGTCCACTTAGCTTAGCACGCCTGCGCGAGTCTCCATTTCATTTCGTCTTTTGGTTGCAGCTGCGCTTTACTCACTGGTGAGTAATCATGTTATAGATTGGTACCAGTGGAAATCGGGAGGCGCTATGGGGAGGAAACAGGCCTCCTCTCCTCCTTCTCCCCGTTTGCGGAGTTCATTTCATCTCCTCGCGTCACAGCCAGCCCCTGTGCTGCACTGCCACGGGCGGCAGAAGCTCCGGAACTGAGCGGTTCTCTGCGCGAGCCGCTGCCGCCCTCCCCCACCCATCAGCTGCTAGCTCGCTGGGCTGGCTCATCGTTCCGTTGTATCCTACAAATTTAAGCCAGCCCAGCCTGCCGCTCACTGATTGGATTGACCTGGACTCCAGCCAATCAGTGAGCTGGCTGGGCTGGAAAATTTTCAACATGCCGCGTGCTGAAAATTTTCATTCCCAACCAGCTCACTGATTGGCTGGACTCCGTTTAGCTTAGCTAGTCTCCATTTCATTTTGTCTTTTGTTTTGGTTGCAGCTGCGCTTACTCACTGGTGAGTAATCATGTTATAGATTGGTACCAGTGGAAATCGGGAGGCGCTATGGGGAGGAAACAGGCCTCCTCTCCTCCTTCTCCCCGTTTGCGGAGTTCATTTCATCTCCTCG